GTAACTAGTCTAAAAAACCACAATCAAAAATACAGCAGCAAATAACAGTAACAAGTATGGCAATAAGCAGAAAGTGAAATTGAAAGGAGGGTCCCTAAACTGATATTTGCCCAGTCACGGACCCGACCAGGAACCACTTTCCATTCCACCAAGCTCCCTAGCAGGCTATTATCCCATGCTCCGACGCATTTGTTCATCAAACAGAACATCTTAGATTTATGCTCCTTCGGTGCTTTATTCATGTACTAAATCCGCACTTTATTAAAAAAATTGATTTCAAGGGTTCAACCTGCACAGATGAGGAATTTTTCCATGGTTTCGTGATTTCTCAATGTATTTGCAAGAATACAACAGCCAGTGTTAGCCGGATCCATATCAAATGAAGCAACAAGTAGCTTCTTAATAGCGCTAGCGAGAGGTCTGACAGATAACGGATCGTATATCACATCTAAATTTAACCGTAAAATTTCAAAGTACTGAAAAAATAAAGAAAAAAATACTAAGAAAGTTTTAAAATTCTTAAAAAATCTTGTCAGTATGCGACATCAAAAAAAAAAAAAACTATGATCAAACATACATGTAATTCCCTTTTTTAAGAAAATCAAGCTAACCTCAAAAAGATTAAATAAAATTTTGTCCGCTGAGCAGCTATTTCCCTCAACCAGTGCTGAATCCTCACTAATATACATTTGCAAAATTTTATTTTCGAAGTTAATCAATTATGTGTGCACAGGACATGCTCTTATCACTTCAATAAATCGCTAGGAAGAATTGAGGTGGAAAACTTTTTTTAGTGATCAGCTATTCTATCCCCGCAAAATGAATCGAAATGAAGTAAGAACATTGCTGAAATAACTTGCAGACGTTAAAAATTATGGACTGATGCCTGTCAGTAAAAAAAGACTACAATGATGGTGTACGAAGAAGCGCATATGTATGCACTACCTTGTGCGCTCAATACCGTAAATCATCGTAAATTTTGCATAAAATGAAATAAACAATTTCCGTTTAGCGGTTTAACAATTTAACAACTTCCCGCCAAAAAAGTTTCAAAAAGGTTTCACGGGGCCGAACGTGAGAACCGCGCATGCCTGGGACTGAATTTGATAAATTTAAGTCGTACGTGGGCTGGGAACATTCCCTGGAAATTTCAGCTTCCCAGCTTTGCTAGTTCCTGAGTTAGTCATTTTCCCGCCGAAAAATCTTAAGGGGCTGTGTGGGAGAACCACGCACACCTGGAGGCTGAATTTGAAATCTTTGAGTTATATGTGGACGGGGAACATAACCTCAAAATTTCAGCTTTCTACCTTTTCTCGTTCCCGAGTCATCAATTTTCCCGCCAAAACTTTCACCCCCACGTACGGGGGGCCCAGATTTGTGTGAAGGTTGGTACCGCGGTTCTGGGGTCGCATTTGGCAGGGAATCTACTAGCAAAATCTTGGCGCTGGAACTTACTTGGCTGCCGAGTTGAAATATCCGGACAGACGAACACATACACACACACACACACACACAAACAGGGCCGTTGCAATATGCATTTTTGCAATTTGCATATAGGCAGAAACGCATAAAAACTAGAGCCACTGCAAGTTGAAAATACCGTATATGATACCTCTCCATTTACCGCTACTTTCATTAGTTTAAAAACTGAAAATCTAAAATTATTTCATATTAAATGTTGTCTCTTATTATGCTCAGATAGGGTTATAAACGCTATTCAAATGAGCAGATATCGGTTGTATTTAAATGAAACAAACCAGCAGCTACGATGAGATTTGGGATAGCTGGCAAATCTGCTATACTGAAAGTTTTCCAATCCAAAAGAACAGCGTAAAGTGAAGCGAAGTCATCCTGAAAAAATTAAAATACCAGAAGCGTTAAGTACCCAACTGTAGCCAAAACTTTCGTTTTACTATGCAGTTTCTGAAAAGCGAAAACGAGAGATAGGAAGTATGCGTCTGATCAGCAGAATCATCCGAACCATTGATGTGGGGATCCGATGCACGAAATATTGACGAAATTGATCTATGTTTGTGGAAGAAACTACAACAAGTTCCTCGGCAATAGACTCGCGAATTCGTTCGAACAACCGGTTACTTCCCCAGTGCTGCTTGACGTACAGGGGTGATCGAGAAAGAAGTTAAAATATTCTGTCCACAAAATTCCCCTTTCTCACACGATGATATCTCACATGCCGCTCATCTGATAAAGCGTTTGTTTATTATATAATCGTGAGCAGGCACTGCACCATTTGCCCCACTGTTCTGTCTGTTACCGACAGTATTACTCTTTCGTTTTCTCAAATTTAGCAACGACAAATTTCCTTATCGGCCAAGACAGATGTAACTGAGAACCGTCCACTTGCAGTCTGTGCACTATTAAAGCAAGGCTTTACATTACTTCCGTTTTCGATGTGTTAATTCCGTTTCCGATGTGTTGTTTTTGCTGCAACCGTCACACTGATGAGGTCCAGTTGCAGCACTGAACAGGAATGTATGCGACTTAATGGACCGAAACATTCCTATTCAGTTTTTTAATCCGATTTATCTTATTCTCCTTCCTTTTAACCCTCACTTTTTACATAAACACACATCATCCAAAATTAAAATTAAAATTATAATTTTCAGATCCGCTTGCTCAGTCCATCTGTTGAGCCGTTGTGAAATCTCATTCAATTTTCCAGTATTATTTGCAATGAGAACGGCGCTATCTGGGAAGCATAAATAGCTCAATTGTTAGACAGTGATCACTTTTCCAATCCAATTTTGCAAAGCAAAAAACTGGGCCGACAATCTTTGACGAAAAGGGATCTCTCCGATGCATTCCTTTCTCATTTCATACATGAAACAGAATGGCGAAATGTGTTATTTCTACTGAATAGGCTCTG